TCAGTCAGAATAAGGAAGGGTCTGAATCCCTGTCATGTTTTTTCTGAGTGTGCCCATTAGGGAGAGTCCTCCTCAATTCCTGTACTGGATACACAACAGGAAATAAGGTAATCACCACATTGGGGACACAAGAACCAACAAAAAAATGAAAGAGGTTCAAAGGCTTTTCCACTCTAAAAAAGAGATTGTATTGTTCTCTGTGTCCAAACAAAACAATGCTGAAAATATCCCACTGACTCTCATGAATCTATGTGGTGCTACCTCTGTAGGAGCCACTGGTTAGAATGGGTCCTCTGTTCTTTGCCTCAACCTCCTTAAGAACTCCAGCCCCTCTGACACAATACGTTGAGTTTACAAAGCATGCAATACCACAGAGATCACTGAAAGTAAGTCTTAGTACCCAGTAGTAGTACTATATCAAAGAGAAAGGCACAGAACAAGTTAATAAAGGCAAACCTAATATATTGTCACCTGGTATGGTTGGTAATGCAGGAAGCATAGAATTGGGTTAACAATGGTAACAACACAATTTAGTATACAGAGTGATTAGTGATAAGGATGCCATTTGATGTTCAGATCAGCATAAACAGTTGCAAGGTCGCCTAAAGTACAGCAGTGAGCAGTTATAAAGCTTTATTTACTGAAAACAGGAACTATACTGCCAAAATGCAGTGATGGCAACTATGCTAGACCTAGAGTAGATCTGCACTTGAGAAAGCCGACTGGGGAGCAACGTGTCAGGCGGGCAGGGACCTCATTATGCTGGGCGAAGCTTAGATGCCATTTTGCAAAGTCGAGTATGTTAGTAGCCTGTGACATGTCTCTATGAACTTTTTAACCACTTCATGTCCGGACACTTTTACCCCCTTCCTGTCCAGGCCAATTTTCAGCTTTCAGTGCTGTCACACTTTAGCATTTTTTGAGACAGATAAAACTTTATTTTGGTGGTATTTATTCACCACTGGGATTTTTATTTATTTTTGCTATATAAATGAAAAAGTCCAAAAATTTTGCAAATAAATAATCTTTCTTCATAAATCTTGGCCAAACTGTATTCAGTTATATTTTTAGTAAAAAAAATAACCCAAATTAGTTTATAACCAAAAATGTTTTTTTTATATTTTTATTTTATTTTTTTATATTATTTATGTTTTTTTAAACATACTGTCACCCTAGGAGTACAGTTTCAACATAGTGACACTGTACTACTTGTGGGGGGTGATGAAGATTTTTTTTCTATTTTTACACTGATTGCTTTTACACCCATAAAAGCTGTAAAAGCAATCATTTTTCCTTCTCTCTGGCTGCATTCTTGCAGCCATTGAGAAATACTGTGTGAGCTGTGATTGGTCACAGCTTGTCACATGGTACAAGGCTGTTGTGAATAGCCTTGTACTATGTGATCTCTGTGATCATTCACAGATTTCACACGTCAGAAGTGACATCTCGCTTACACCTATTCATGTGATCATTGATTGGCCAATCAGTGATGACATGATCAGGACCTCACACAGAGGTCCCGTATAGTGATCGGTGTTCCACTGTGTCCTCCAGCGGGCAACAATTGCGGTACCGTGCGCTCCCAGGGAGCGTGCACAATCCAAAATGGCGGGCGCTGTTTATGAACGGCAACCCGCCCCTGCACTGCCACCATCCGGCTGTCTTGCCTTTACTAACTTGTTCTGTTACAGTGGCCGAACAGGAACTGGTTATCGTGAATTAATTTTAACTTTCTTATGGAAATAAACTAGCAGTCTGCACTGTTGGATGTTTCTTTGCTTCTTTTACTATATCTTTTCCTGGGAGATTAGTAATGACCAGGTGAATGCTGAAGAAGATCGTGGTCTCTAATATAAAACCGCAATTGACCCTCTTTTTGCAGTGGGCTCCATGATAAAAGGTGAGGAGATACCCATGAGGTGTGCTGAAGGGTACGGTGTTGTTTGTTTACGCTGAAGAAAGTCATATTGTTGTTCTGGCAAGAATTAATATATCGACTGAAGATTGCGCGAAGTGTGCTGTTCTCCTCATATTTGTTATATAACTGTGCATTGTATTACCAATTCTTATTTCACCATGTTGTTTCTATGCAATGATCTGTTTGCTGCAATCTGCTGGCTAGAATTTACATGCTGCACGCCTCTGCTCTTGTTAGTAAAGTTTTTCCTCTGCTGGGCGTGGTTTTAGGCAGCCTTGGTTCTGGTCACTTCCTGCAACCATTTTATGTGCTTCATAGCTGTGTAACAGGACATTCAATACCCTGGGCTTGTGAAGGGATCAGTTTTTGACCAGCAGTTAGCCTCAGAAAAGATATCACAGGACAGCATCAATACCTCTACTACATTACAGTATTGTATCACCGCTTGTCCCTGTATTTGGATCAAATAAACTCACGCTGATTTCATTCCTGTGTATACGTTTGGATCCATCTAACCCTAGCATCTGCCGGTCCAGTCTGCTCCACTGCTTGGATACGAAGGTAGGAAGTCACGCAGCCATTATCTGTTATACCTTCGTTAGCCTTCATGCGGGGACAGAACACGAAGAAAGGTGTGTATATATTAATATATATATATATATATATATATTTTTTTTTTTATTTTTTTTTTTTTCATTTGCACATTCAAAAAAGGATACTGAATGCTGTTTACGATAAAGAGTTTATGGTATGAAGTTATATAATATTCGATTTGTTATGTCATTTTGGAAGCGCTTCACCGGTATTTGATTTTGACTCATTAACACAGTGAAGTGATTGCACAGTTGGGTGGTAGTTGCTATCCTGAATCAAACTTACATAATTTAACTTATTCTTTATTTTTAGCTGTGAGTACTAATAGCACAGGGTTTTTTTTCTATTTTTATTTTACACTGGACCTAGACCGTTTGGATGTGCACTGTCCATAGAAATGAAGGGGACCAGAGGTGTGTGACTGATGCAGGGAAACGCAGACTTCAGATATGTGATAAACAATACAATTTATTAACACTAACCATACAAACATAAACGCAGTGCAATACTAAACATAATACAGTGCAAACAAACCAAACCAAACCACCCACAGATAACAGTACATACAAGCAAGCGTCGTCAGGCAGGCCGGGTCAATATCAATTGGGCAGGTAGGTACAGGGGGAGCAAGCAGAGAATGGTCGGGGTCACAGGCCAGGTTCAGCAGGTAGCAAGCAGCGTAGTACAGAGGGTCAGGCAGAGGGATGGTCAGGGTCACAAGCCAGAGATCAAAACAGGTAACAAGCAGCGTAGTACAGAGGGTCAGGCAGAGGGACAGAAACAGGATGCAGGACAGATACAGGGCCCAGGACAAACACAACACCAAGGCAGAGTCTGTGGGTCTGGCCATCCCTTAAATACCCCAGCATCATCAGTTCCAGGTGTTAGCTGGCTGAAAGGTTGAGTCTCTGACTGCTGGGAGCACCCGCTGGCCAGCCCTGGTACTGCAGATCAAAAGGCAGGTGAGTCCCACCATTGCTGGCCAGTCCATTCCTAACAGTACCCCCCCCCCCCCCCCAAGGAGCGGCCTCAGGACGCTCCAAACAGTCCTAGCTGGGCAAAATGTTCCACCGCCCGGGTCTGGTAACTGGCGGGATATCAAAGGCACACCAGGCGGGCGGCACACCGGGCTGGACTCCGGGCAGAGGCACACATCGAGCAGAGGCACACCGGGCAGAGGCACACCGGGCAGAGGCACATCGGGCAGGACTCCGGGCAGAGGCACATCGGGCAGAGGCACATCGGGCAGGACTCCGGGCAGAGGCACATCGGGCAGGACTCCGGGCAGAGGCACATCGGGCAGGACTCCGGGCAGAGGCACATCGGATTACCACCGGCGGAGCAGCAGCAGGCACCGGGCCCCCGGGCGGAGAGCAGCAGCAGGCACCGGGCCCCCGGGCGGGCGGCAGCAGGCACCGGGCCCCGGGCGGGGAGCATGCAGGCACCGGGCCCCCGGGCGGGAGGACATGCATCGGGCCCCGGGGGCGGGGCGACATGCATCGGGCCCCGGGCGGAGCAGCAGGCACCGGGCCCCCGGGCGGGGCAACCGGGCCCCCGGGCGGGGCAGCAGGCACCGGGCCCCCGGGCGGAGGCAGCAGGCATCGGGCCCCCGGGCGGGGCAGCAGGCACCGGGCCCCCGGGCGGGGCAGCAGGCACCGGGCCCCCGGGCGGGGCAGCAGGCACCGGGCCCCCGGGCGGAGCAGCAGGCACCGGGCCCCCGGGCGGGGCAGCAGGCACCGGGCCCCCGGGCGGAGCAGCAGCAGGCACCGGGCCCCCGGGCGGGTGACCGGCGTCGGGCCCCCAGGCGGGGCGGGGCGGGCCCCCAGGAGGGGCGACAGGCATCGGGCCCCCAGGCGGGGCGACAGGCATCGGGCCCCCAGGCGGGGCGACAGGCATCGTGCCCCCAGGGGGAGCGGCGGGCGCCGGACCCCCAGGCGGAGCGACAGGTCTCGGGCCCTCAGGCGGAGCGGCGGGGGCGCCGGACCCCCAGATGGAGCGACAGGTCTCGGGCCCTCAGGCGGAGCGGCGGGGCGCCGGACCCCCAGGCGGAGCGACAGGTCTCGGGCCCTCAGGCGGGAGCGGCGGGCGCCGGACCCCCAGATGGAGCGACAGGTCTCGGGCCCTCAGGCGGAGCGGCGGGCGCCGGACCCCCAGGAGGAGCGACAGGTCTCGGGCCCTCAGGCGGAGCGGCGGGCGCCGGACCCCCAGATGGAGCGACAGGTCTCGGGCCCTCAGGCGGAGCGGCGGGCGCCGGACCCCCAGATGGAGCGACAGGTCTCGGGCCCTCAGGCGGAGCGGCGGAGCGCCGGACCCCCAGGTGGAGCGACAGGTCTCGGGCCCTCAGGCGGAGCGGCGGGCGCCGGACCCCCAGGAGGAGCGACAGGTCTCGGGCCCTCAAGCGGAGCGGCGGGCGCCGGACCCCCAGGCGGAGCGACAGGTCTCGGACCCTCAGGCGGAGTGGCGGGCGCCGGACCCCCAGGCGGAACGACAGGTCTCAGGCCCCCAGGCGGGGCGGCGGGCACCGAGTCACCAGGCACAACCGTGGGCTCCGAGTCAACTGGGATGACCGCTGGCACTGGGTCAGACATTGGATCGTCGTCTGGCTGGACAGCGGGCATCGGGTCACCAGGCATCAGGTCATTTGGCTCGACAGCGGGCACCGCGTCATCTGGCAAGGCAGTGGGCTCCGAGTCAACTGGTATGACCGCGGGCACTGGGTCAGACATTGGATCGTCTGGCTGGACAGCGGGCACTGGGTCACCAGGCATCAGGTCATTTGGCTCGACAGCGGGCACCGCGTCATCTGGCAAGGCAGTGGGCTCCGAGTCAACAGGCACGACAGTGAGCACCGGGTCATCAGGTACCGGATTGTCTGGCTCGACAGCGGGCATCGGGTCACCAGGTATGACAGCGGGCACTGGGTCACCAGGCATCAGGTCATTTGGCTCGACAGCGGGCACCGGATCAGGTACCGGATCATCTGGATCAACAGCGGGCATCGAGTCAACTGGCCTAATAGGATCGTCAGGCTGGATCAGTTCATCATGCTGGGTAGAGGCATCAGGCTGAATGCCGGCGTCCGGCTGAGTAGAGGCTTCAGGCCGAGTAGAGGCATCAGGCCGAGTAGAGGCATCAGGCCGAGTAGAGGCGACAGGCCGAGTAGAGGCGACAGGCCGAGTAGAGGCGACAGGCCGAGTAGAGGCATCAGGCCGAGTAGAGGCATCAGGCCGAGTAGAGGCATCAGGCCGAGTAGAGGCTTCAGGCCGAGTAGAGGCTTCAGGCCGAGTAGAGGCATCAGGCCGAGTAGAGGCATCAGGCCGAAGAGAGGCTTCAGGCCGAGTAGAGGCTTCAGGCCGAGTAGAGGCATCAGGCCGAGTAGAGGCTTCAGGCCGAGTAGAGGCATCAGGCCGAGTAGAGGCTTCAGGCTGAACCACGGAAGGCAGGCTCACCGGTTTGGATACTGGCAGGATGGTATTGGTTGGAAAGAATTTTCGCTTTTTTCTGGTTTTAACTACTGGAGCACTGCAAGTAAACGCAGGTCTGCAAACGAATGGAGCAGCTGGAGACAGAGAAGAACTGGAGGATGGAACAGGAGAGGGAGCGGTTGCTACAGAGGGCTCTTTTACAGGGTTAAAGGCAGGATAGGTGCAGCGAGTGGGAACAGGGTACTGACATGCGGTAGATAGCAGGGCAGGAGGAGCTGTTGGGAATGCAGGAATAGAGTTTTGAGGAAATAGATTAGAAGCAGGACTGGGTCTTTGTAAGCTGACTGAGGCTGGGTGCAACAAATCTGTCCATGTCTGCAGTATGGGTTGAACAAAGCTGAGCTTACACAAAGCCTGTCTGGTCAATGACTGTACTGCGTTTATACAATCTCTTAGTGTCTGTGGTGAACATGTGGAATAACGCTCCAGAAAGTAACCCACATCATCCTCTAATAACCACACCAGGGACTCTACCTGGTCTGCACTAAATGGTGGCAAAAAAATTCATCCCTGCATTCGGTGGAACCAGATGAAACCAACTCAGCACAAACCTCAATCAAAGGCTGCACCTCAGAGAACTCTGTGCCCTGATCTACTAGAACATGAGCGAGCCGTATACATTCTAGCAGTTCATCCCGGGGATACTCCTTCAGAGTTTGATAAGCATACTCCCTGTCATCAAACACTAGCAGATATAAATATTCAACCTCATCAAGATCCATCCTTCCCATCAACAAGCCAAGATGGCTTCCCTGTGCAGCCACTTCTGGTCAGGATTGGCCTTGGTGTAATGTCAGGGCTCCCAGGTATGACCAGAGGTGTGTGACTGATGCAGGGAAACGCAGACTTCAGATATGTGATAAACAATACAATTTATTAACACTAACCATACAAACATAAACGCAGTGCAATACTAAACATAATACAGTGCAAACAAACCAAACCAAACCACCCACAGATAACAGTACATACAAGCAAGCGTCGTCAGGCAGGCCGGGTCAATATCAATTGGGCAGGTAGGTACAGGGGGAGCAAGCAGAGAATGGTCGGGGTCACAGGCCAGGTTCAGCAGGTAGCAAGCAGAGTAGTACAGAGGGTCAGGCAGAGGGATGGTCAGGGTCACAAGCCAGAGATCAAAACAGGTAACAAGCAGCGTAGTACAGAGGGTCAGGCAGAGGGACAGAAACAGGATGCAGGACAGATACAGGGCCCAGGACAAACACAACACCAAGGCAGAGTCTGTGGGTCTGGCCATCCCTTAAATACCCCAGCATCATCAGTTCCAGGTGTTAGCTGGCTGAAAGGTTGAGTCTCTGATTGCTGGGAGCACCCGCTGGCCAGCCCTGGTACTGCAGATCAAAAGGCAGGTGAGTCCCACCATTGCTGGCCAGTCCATTCCTAACACCTTTATGCTCTTCTTCTGGCTACTGTTGGGGCCTCTTAAGAGGTGTTGGTGCATTGAACAACCATTTAAAGAAACCAGCATGCAGTATACTCTAGGTGCAGCAGTACAAATTGAGCGAAGGTGCAGCATAGATACAGTACAGGTGCATTATAGTTGCAGTAAAGGTGCGGTATATTCAATGTCCTGCCTCCAGTAACTCAGTCTCTGTTAGAACAATGGGCAGTGCCCTCTGACCAGTACCTGTGCTATGGCTGTGACCTCTCTCTCTAGAAAGGGGAGCCCCCTCTGTCTCTCCACAAAATGCCTCTGGTGGTTCAGAGGTGGGAAGTAGAGGTTGAGGGTATGCTCTGGTCTTCCTATGACATTGGTGTAGATGCAATTGTGGTGGTCTGCACTGCGCTGCCTCAGGTCTCTCCACTGGTCTGGCCTCACAACAGTCTGGTCAGTATGCAGCAGATGTGCTCTCATGAGTTCCTTTGGTGCCCAGAGGAAGAACCTAGCTGGAAAGTCTAAAAAAAGCAGCTCCGCAGCTCCTCCTTGTCACAATGTCTCTTAGGATTTAAAGTGCAAAGGGTATATACGACCCACAATATAGCTTACTTCCTGGACTTCAAATCCCATGATTCTCAGCATGTGAGCATGTGCTTACAGGTGAGTGGTATAAAATAAAGTATATTTTTACTGTTCTGTTTAAGGAATGTGGAATATGTGTTGGTAAACCTGCTGTTTTCATTTGAGTGTCTGTTCCACTGTGTTTTATGCAAGTAATGTGTTAGGGAGTTAGCAGGCTGCCCAGAAGTGAGGAAGGGATTAAGTCTGGCCACTCCCAGGTGTTCATGGCTCTGTCCCCTTGGTGGGCTGTAAATAGGGGAGACAGCCTATTAAGGTTTCTTGATCCTCCTCAAGGGAACAGTCAGGAAGGAATACTGCAAGATGTAATTCTGCAATAAGCATGTGACCTCCCTATATTGGGGTGCCCAGTCATGGTACCAGAAATGGAAGATGGACCTTATAAGAGGGAACTCTCTACTTAGAGGTATGAACTGGGCTGCTTGAGTCAGGATGAAGTAGTCAGAGCTATGTAGGAGGAAGATGTTAATAGACTGTGTCCTATTAATTCTGTATCTGCAAGAAATCCAAGTAAATGTTCTAAGTTATAAATGCCTGGTCTGAAGTTCTAATAAAGAGGTGTATGGAAGGCATATTCGAAAGCAACAAAAGCAACGTGCAGAATTAAAAATGTCACTTTGTTTTGGATTGATTAGTTAAGTTACTAAATTTGTTTTGTTGCATTTGTTACATTCGGATGATTAGTTTTTGTAATTCTTTTTGTTTAATTTCATTTTGTTTAATAATTTTCAAATAGATTTGAATTTTCAGATATATTTGAATTGAATCAAACATATCAAATAATTTCAAATTCATTGTGAAGAATAGCTGGTTGTTAAGGAGTGGACACTCCATGCTGTTTTTTTCTTTAACTGCTTCCCAACCGCCCTATAGCAGAACTACTGCTACAGGGTGGCAGGGCTGTGCAAAATCACATATATATACGTGATTTTGCACCGCCCTACCCACACCATCATTGGCGGCTACAGCTGTCAATCACCAGGTCCCGGACAGAGATTCCCCCGCCGGCACCCAGCAATCGCTGAGGAACACTGACAGGGGAGAGGTCTGTATATAAACAACACACAAATCTCTCCCCTGTCAGCACCAGCATGCTGCTTTGTATTCTGCATGCTGCTTTGTATTGCTTTGCATAGCAGAGCAATACAAAGCAGCATGCTTACATAGTAAAAAAGCACACAGCACATAATGTGAAACACACAGCACACAGCTAACCCTTTGATGTTAACCCCTTCCTGCCCAGTGTCATTAGTATAGTGTCAGTGCTTTTTATTAGCACTGACCACTGTATTAGTGTCACTGGTGATGTCAGTGGCAATTAGTTCCCCCCCAGTGTCAAAATTCCCATGAACTTGTGAATTCTCAGTGCAATAAGGAGTGCATGGGTTGAACAGAAAAATTCTTTAGAAGCAATGCCTAATCTCTGCCCAAGAGCAGGGTACATCACTTATGTGCAGTCAAAAACATCAAAGAAGGCTAACGCAGTGGTGGGGTTGGGGGAAGGGAGAGGAACCAGGAAGGAAGGGGTAAGATACATAGAATAAAGGAAAAAAAACACTGGTCATTATCTGAAGTTACAAACCAAATCATAATCATCTAATGCATTAAACACCTCGTACAACCGAGACATGGCTAATCACATATACAAGAAAAAGGGAAAAAAAAGAAAGTAGAGATAGTAGAGAATAGAGAAAGAAAGAAAGAAAGAAAAGAGGAATAAGGGGGGGGAAAAGAAAGAAAAAAAAAGAAAGAAAGAAAAGAAAGAAAGAAAGAAAGAAAGAAAGAAAGAAGAAAGAAAGAAGAAAGAAAGAAAAAGAAAGAAAGAAAGAAAGAAAGAAAGAAAGAGGGTCAAGTCAAGGGACAGAAATATACTGAATCCATGGGTTCCATAAGGTATCATACTTTTTAGTATTATTACGTATTAGAATACAGGTGAGTCTGTCATTAACCATAATCCAATTGAGTTTATTCTTTACATAGTCAAGTGGAATTGCAGACTGTTTCCAATACTTCGGTATGGTAATTCTGGCCACCAACAGCATATAAAACTATTAATTTTTGTGATTTTCTGGGAACCTAATTGGGAAATTTATGAAAAAGGGCTATCTCCGGGGATCTATGAATAGTCACTCCTATCACTGAATTGATAATGTGAAAGTAACATCTTGCCAATCAGCTAAATCAAAAGTGGCATTCAGGTGCCGTTCCCATTGAGTCATATAAGGGAGATTACTATTTGGATCAATGAGGAGAGAATATAGTGTGTAGACCCTCAAGATACCCCTTGTTTGGCATGAGAGCTCGAAAGCTGTAAGCATAAGTGGCCCATTCAGCGACTTAAGCTTAGAGCAAATAAAGAGGCAATCTGATTGTATCTAAAAATCTCATTAAAAGACATATGTAATGTTATGTACAGCGCTGAGCGAACTATTGGCGCTTTTATAAATACTGTATAATAATAATAATAATGTTTCTCTACAATCCTGTAGAGAACAGATGCGATCCCCATTAAGGTAGTCTCCTATTCTTAGCAACCCTTTATTAATCCACCATTGATAC